CTACATCATTTAGTTACATATACTTTACAAAAAAATACAGAACAATACCTCATCAGGAACTCGGAGGTACTTGATTGTGTTGCCACGGATATAACATTCCGGCATTCGCCAAAACCTATCTCCATCCTACAGAAAAGTGACTGCATGTTTGAGTGTCAATCACATTTCATAARAAAAAGAAAAAAAAAAAGGATTTTCTTCAACATCATAGGAAAGAGCAGTAGATAGATAACCTTTGATGTACAGATGACTTCACGAAGATGAATGTTCATCCATGTATCACAATTCACCAAGTGCCCGTTATACGTCTCCCCATTCTTGAGCTCTACAAGCTACCAAACCAACAATAAACAAGAAAGAATATATATTATAAGACCGATAAAGTGTGTATACATACTTACACCAAAATCAACTGAAAAAACCCCAAATCTATATTCAACAAAGAGGCTAAGACTTAAGAGAAATTGAACAACTTCAGTTGGATACAGCATCATGTTAATTGAGTAAACAGATTTGATATACAAACAAGTTTCAGATTGCAGAAGATATAGAACTTACCATGGGATGCCCTTGAGCAGTCTTGAGCAGCGAAAGAGGAAGCTGGAATCATAAGAGAAGTTAGCAATCACCTAGAAACCAAAAGACAAACCCTAGAAAACAAAACAGCACGAAAATTTACCATCTTCTCGAATCAGAAAATCTGGCGATTCCAGCAGAATCTGCAAAGACCCAAGAGTACACTTTTAAAACGGAAACGCAGAGAGAAAATTCGATACGACTTTGGAGGTGAGAAAATTCGTTAATAGAGAGAGGAAGAGAAGGGAGAGAAACTTAATCACCTGAGTAGATAGATATTCAGGAAAAGAAGAAGAGGGGAAGAGATCGAAGACGATGATGGATGTGAAAATTCGAACTTTGTATTTGCTTTTTCTCTTTAGCAGAAGAAGGGGATTCTGTAAAAAATCAAGAACTTTTTAAAAGTCAATGGAAAACTTTAGGGTTTTGCAATCGTATCCCCTTACTCTTTGCAATTTCACAATTTAACCTCTTTAAGTTTTTGTTTCATAAAAGCCCAACAAAACAGGCCCATTGCAGAGATGTCCCGAGATTCGTGATGGAGAGACAATTTTATTCGATCGAAGAACCCTAATCTCTCCGATGATGCGGATTGTGCGACCCGTTGTCAACATCATTCACGTATATATGGATACTAAGTTGTGTGGGGTAAACTATTATTGTATGTTTTAGCCTTTTGGGTGGAGAGGGGTAAATAGTTGGTTACATTATCAGATATCTTTTCATGTTTTAGGCAGATAATAATTTGTGACATTAGACGACAAATTATTTGCTATGTTTTTTGTAAATTTTAAGATGGATGCAATAACAAG